CCCTTCTTCCTCTCAGCTACAGATTCTTTCACTGCTACAGTGCATTTTTGGAATGTAAGGCAGAGTCTTCTGGAATGTCAACATTCTGCTCCTGTAGGAAAAATAAGAGAAATTTTCTAGTCTATAAAAAAAAAGCTTACTGCAAAGTCCCAAGCAGCCTGTTGTAGTAAATATATTTATTTTATTCCTCGCTCCTGTTCTGAGACTGATTTGTCCGTGATTCCTTGTTTTGCTGCTGAGGAGCATCAGAAAACCCCTCAGTTTCCTCCTGCTTGTCTGGATGTGGTCTGTTTGCCTGCTGAGGGCCATCGCTGGCTGCCTCCTTCCGAGTCAGACACACGGGTGCTGCTTCGCATAAAGAACAAAGCCAAYAAGACACTGAAAATACTGGAACATAGAAGCAGTTTGTAAGAACAGAGATTCATACGGTGAAATTTGTACAGTGTAGTGTTCCCCAAATCCTCTCTGCTGCTACCAGAAGAAGTAAGAAGATGGCAAGGAGCTCAGCATTTACCTAGTCTAACAAGTGTTTGCAGACTAAGACAAAAACAAACATTTAAGGTGTGTTAAGGTGTGTATCTTTTACTTAAGTGGTTACAGAAAATACTCCTGGCAATTCTTACTGGATGTGTTTACATAATACTGTGTTAAAAGTTGCCATCACATCTAAGTGCTGTCAGCTGAGCTAGATTTAGTGCTTTTCCTTGCAGCTCCTTGCTGGAGCAGTGTAATGGGYTAGGCGAATCAGTGTAACACTTGGTTCACAGGGTTTCGGTCCAGTTTCAAGRAGATTCAAAAAAGAAATGAAATAGCTCAAATACAGCCTTGGAGATGGGCTAAGGGACCTTGTGGTAGACTGGCTTTTAGAAATTCTTCAGGTTGCTGCCTCACACTGTCTTGTACCAGATTCTGCTAGGTGGATTTTCTTTGAATATGGGTTCAAGTAGGTACTGGGAGATAAGGAATAGGCTAAAATTCTGTTGCTCTACTCTGACTTAATTTTAGTACCTGAAATGCAGTAAGGGATTGTGTTACTGCAGTTCAAGAGTAGAATAGAAAAAAGAGAATTTCATGGCACTTTACTGTTCTCTTTTTACCAAATATCCACCCTTTTTCTGCTTCTTAAAGGACAATTTTTATTCATTTCAATCAATCACAAGGTTGCTACAAAGCCATGGTCCTCAACTGCTGAAGATAGTCCTGTTCTGCTGAAACTCCGTGCTATCCATACAGGTAGGTTTGAGGTTCACTCACATTATTGAAGAATTTCAAATGGCTTCAGTAGGAATCAGGAATCTCTACCTTTGCACAGAACAGGCTACTTCTTTCTGCTTGTCAGATGAAGGGAGGTGACAAGCCGCACATACTGAAACTGTCCAGAGCTTGGACTAAGAGCATTTTCTTCCCCAGGCACCTCTGCCAGTGATAGCTGGGTGTAGAGAAATCACAGTAGCTGTTCTGGTTGAGAAAGAAAGGATTTCCTTTCAGCAGCCTGGTCGTGACAGAAGATGATGCTGTGTTCCCTGCAGTTCACCCTCCTCAGATGCCTGGCCTGTTTTGCTTAGTTGTGAGGCACACGAAATTCAGGCTGTTCTCTTGTAAAATGCAATAAACTTACAAAAGTTGGGTGTAGCTTGATTTACTGTCTATGGGGAATCCTAAGGAAAGGGAAGAAAGGTGGGCAAGGGGGCACTGACTGATAGGCCCTAGAGAATAAATTTATTTGGAAGAGGGACCAACAAAGAAATTGTTTCACATGGTGTTAGTAGGGATATTCCAAGTGCTGGGAGAGTATAAAAGAGAAAAATAGACCATGGTAGTAGGAATGGTAATGAGAAGGAGAGAAAGCTGTGTGATTAACAGTAATTAAGGGGGTTTAAAGAAGGTGTCTGCAGGGGCTCTATCAAAGATCCAACACCTGATGAGCGCAAGAAACCAGCAAGGTGGGAAGATCTAAAACATTGTCCAAGGGGCATCTTGTTTCAGGCTTGAGAAACAGTGAGCTGGAGACTGGAAATTAAGCTGTTGGTCAGGGCGTGATGARCAAGACTGCACATGTTACTGAGGCTCTTCTTGCCCAACATGGGTAAGAAAGGGGAGATAGAAGAGGCAAAGGAGATGGAGATGAAAACTCTGAGTTAGAGACAGTTATATGCAAGAATATGTGTAGAGGAAAGAAAGAAGGTAGAAACAGCGAAATAAAGTTAATGTGTGATGGAGGGTGCTACAGAATGCACTAGGGTGATGCACAGAATCACAGAAAACATAGAGTGATGTAATCCAACTTACTGCTCCAACCAGGGTTATTTTCAAAGTTAGAGCAGCTTACTCAGAGCTTTGTCTAAGTGACTTTTTAAAATTTACAGGGAACTTGATTCTGCAATTTCTGAGAGCGTTTCTCTACCAATCTTGATGCAGGCTAAGGGGCTTTCTTCATAGTGCTGAATCCCAGTAAGAAATGTCTTCCATGTAGGCCTTTGGACTCCTAGTTCCTAATGTAATCCACACATCTCAAAGAAATTGCATTCTGTTACTTAACAATATATCCTAAAGGATGGCTCTTGTTTGAAGTCCAGAAGGGATGTTGGATATCTACACTGACGTCATTCTTAAACAATGTTAAAGGAGAAACAAATGTGCCTATTTACTCAAATTAAACAGTTAAGACGTTGCTGCCAGAAAGAAAACAACAAAACAAAAAATATTTGAGGCACTTTCCCCGATTCAAATCTGAAAGATTTCTATGTTCTTGTGTGGGAGATGTTCACCTTACTCATGTGGACCCCTTGAGCTCTTCTGAATTTTCCCTTTAAGGAAAGAATTGTGAAGTGCAGTGCTAGTTTTTATGCTCTAAATCTTGCGTGGGACATGCTTTGCCACTCATTCAAATCTCCCTGCCTTTACTCCTTGAACTTTTAGTTTTTCTATTTCCCTAAGTCTGGTATATGATAGTTTTAATAATTTTTCCTCTGGGCTATTTTCTTTTTTCAAGCCTTGGAAATGGCGATGTCTTTTTCTTATGCCAACTCCTTTCCTGAACTATTAGAGGAAATACAAAGCTGAATGTTATATTCCATATAAATAAAACTACCAGGTGCTTCATGCATACAAGTGAGATTAAAGCATTTGTCWTATTAGTGGCTTAATTGAGATAGTTCATTTATATCTACTTTGTCCACTTTGTTACTGGATGTAAGGTCACAAGCTTCCAACAGGTTATGGACAAGAGCTTGGTAAAAAAAAAAAAAGAAACTAAAGTTTAATAGTAATACAGCATGACAGTGGAGAATATAGACTGTGAAGACTGGTAGTAATCACTAACTTCACTAACTCATGACTTGATCCTGATGGGAACAATTTAAGTAAATGTCTGTCAGAGATATTTAAATACAAGCTAGAACATAGCAATCAGTCTGAATGATAGCAAGCTGCTGGTGTGCATACACACCAGCATACAGATGCTGTCATACAAAGCATACAGATGGAGAAAGGTTCTGGAAAACACAACAGAGAGCAGTTTCTTGGGTAGTCTTCCCTTAGCAGAGCTCAGGTGTGCTCCATATAGAGCAAGCAGCAGTTAATGTGTTTGGGGAACTGCGTGCCAGAAATTAATGTAATTACAGATGTCATTGCATGCAGCAAATGTTATGAATTATTTGAAGTATTTCGTTGACAAAGTATGGGAAATGCTGTGTGGATAGGGAATAATCCTAAGTAAGTACTTGGGATATAATATAATGAGAGCTTTAGTGTGACACATTCTTCCGTACATTAGGAGATTTTCAGATTTACTATAATTTGAGTGAATTTTAGTTTCAGAATTTCAGGTCATATCAATTAGCCTAGTAAATATCACAGGAATAGTTCCCATTTGCRAAGGGGAAACAGTAAAGACAGTAAAGATTTATAGAGAAATCTTGAAGAGGATTAATAGTTTCTGTCTCTAGTGTGCTTGGCCTTGTGTATTCTCCTTGCTTACAATTAAGGATTTCTTGTCATCGCTTTTTCAATTTTTATGGGCATCACTATGGTTTTCTGTAATTTATTGGGGAGAAAAGAGGGAAAGACATTTCATTTGTCATTGTAAATGTCTTACGTGCGCTAATGGACTTTATGTGAAGTGATTACACTGACAACAGCAGCATTTGGACCTTAATTTATTATGCAAATAACCTGTCCTGCATTAACTAATGTGTGTCCTCCCGGGACAGAATCAGAATCACGTAGCTCTGTCCAAACTGCTCTGAAAGGCCATGTGTGACATCTTGGGTGGTCCCAAATGCATCATTTTGCTTCTTTTGCTCACTCCTAGCCAGRTAGTTGCTGCAGAGGTGTTTGTTGAATGCGTGCAGCTTGTTCCACTGTGCTGGATGATGTTCTCATCTACCAGCAAGATACAGATTTTCTAGGCTGTGAGCCATCCCACCTAACTTGAAATGACATCAGTACTGGTGTCTGCATTCTGCTGCCTCATCTTCTCTGACATTCACTTTGCCTTTGAGAATACCAGACATTTTATTCCTTTTGAAATTTTGTCTTCCTCTTCTTGCTTCTGTGATGCTCTCCTTTCCTGAGTCTCCTTCTGTGTCYCTAATTGCTCTGTGCCTGTCCTTGACGGGGTTTTCCTCATCCTTCCTTTGGATAGGCTCCCCAGGGCTCTGCCCTTGTTTCCCAGTTCTTCTTATCTTGATGAAATATAATTTACAAATACATTGCAATGTAATTATCATTGGTCTGTGGACAAATGATGTCAAACTCTCCGTCACAGACTTGTTTCCTTATGTCTGATTAAAATCATGGCCTGTATGGCAAACACAATTCACTGTGGCTAAAACAAAGCTGGTCAGTCTCTCAACATGTAGGTTTCTTGGCTTGCTTCCTGCAACATCTATTTTCCTTTGGATTCAGTAATGTAATCTTAACACATTTGTATCTGTTTAGACACCTGTAACACTGGTATTGCACTGGTCATCTTTCTGGCTTCTCATTTTAACTGCCTTGCATTCTACATTTACATTCCTTCAATGACACCCTCTTGGTCATGCCTCATTTTTTGGATTCTTTTCCAGGCCCTTCATGATGTATCTYGGTGAGTCAGTGTTGAAAGACTTTTGGGAGCACTCCTGTTCTTGTGCAGGTGCTGGGGTGTGTGTGTAGGCCCTGGGTAAGAATGACATGTTTCTCTAGGCTCATCGGATCACTGCTTTACTCGATCACTTTTACATAAGAAAGCTCATTCTAGGAGCTCCCATGTTGGAGGCATGGAGCTCCCAGATAGGAGGAGGCACCTCCCTACTGGAGAACTGGATGCAGCACTCCAGGTGTAGCCTCACAGGCCTGAGTAGAGAAAAGGATCATGTACCTCAATCTAGTGKCAATGCTCCTCCTAATGCAATCAAATATACCCTCAGCCTTCTGGGCCTCCAGGGCACATTGATGACTCACAGTCACATTGTTGTCCACCGGGACTCCCAGGTCCTTCTCTGCTGAGCTGCATTCCAGCTGGTCAGTCCCCAGCATGTCCTGGTGCCTGGTGTTATTCCTGCCCAGAGGCAGGACCCTGCACTTGCCTTTGTTGAGCTTCAGGAGGTTCCCTCTGTCCAGCTCTCCAGCCTGTTAGGTGCCTGTGAACGGCAACACAGCCCCCCGGGGGTATCAGCCACTCCTCCCAGTTTTGTCTCATCAGCAGACATGCTGAGTGTGCACTCTGTCCCTTCATCCAGGTTATTGATGAGAAAGTCAAACAAGACTGGACCCAATATTGACCTCTGGGGGATACCACTAGCTACAGCCCTCCTACTAGATTCTGCACTGCTGATCACAACCCTCTGAGCTCTGCACTTCAGCCAGTTCTCAGTCTATCTCTTTGTCCACTCATCTAGCCTGCACTTCCTCAGCTTCCCTTTTAGGATTATGTGAGACTATGTAGAAAACCTTCCTGAAATCAAGGTAGACAACATACATTGCTCTCCCCTCATCTACTCATGTAGACATTCCATCAGGTTTCTTAAGCATGATTTCCATCTTGTAAATCCATGCTRACTACTCCTGATCACATTCTTATCATTCACATTCTTAGAAATGGCATCCAGGATGAGATGCTCCATCACTTTTCCAAGGACTGAAATGAGGTTGACTGGTCTACAGATCTCTGGTTTCTCTTTCTTGACCTTTTGGAAGACTGGAGGGACATGAGCCTTCTTCCAGGCTTCTTCTCAGGCACTTCTGTTCTCTGTGTCCTTTCAAGGTCATCAAGAGTGGCCTAGCAATAATGCCCTCCAGCTCCCTCAGTGATCATGGGTGCATCCCATTAGGGTCCATGGACTTGTGGATGTCCAATTTGCCTAAATGATCTCCATCTCAATTCTTCTCAGCCCACAGAAAGTCCTTTTTTTTTTCCCCAGACTTTCTCCATGGTCTCTAAGGCCTGGGATTCCTGACAGATGGCCTTAGCAGTAAAGACTGAAGCAATGAAGGCCTTCAGTATCGCTGTCTTCTCTGTAGCATTGACCACCAGGTTCCCTTACCCCGTTTAGGAATGGGCTCGCATTCTCCCTAATCTTTTTGTTCTTGATGTATTTAAAGAAGTCCTTCTTGCTGTCTCATYGCATCCCTTTATACTTGGACAATTTTCATTTAATGTTCCCAAGTGGCTTCTCCCTGCTTCCACCTTCTGTGCACTTCCTTCTTCTGTAAGAGTTTTGCCAGGAGCAACTTTACATCCATGCAGKGGTCCTGTCTCCTTTGCTTGACTTCCTGCTCGTTGGGATGCACTGCTCTTTAGCTATGTTTTAATGCTCTCTTCCGTCTCTCTTCCTTCCAAGGCCCTATCCCTTGGGATGATTTCAAGAAGTTCCCTAGAGAGGCCAAAGTTTTCTCTCCTGAAGTCCAATGTTGTGATCGTACTTTTTACCCTGACATTTTCCTGTCAACAAGGAAATTTTGAAAAGCTAAGGAGAAATAAAGAGGAAGATAGAGACAACTCGGTCTGATTTCTTGTTGTCTATTTGTTTCTCTCTTTCACTTCCTTTTTCTCTGCTTTTGATGAATATGATGGTGTAAGAATTTTAAAAGACTTTCATAAAAGTCTTTTCATAAAAGTCTTTTATGAAAAAAAGACTTTTTTTTTCAGAAGGCCCTGGGGATTGATGGAGATTTGCCACTTCGACCTTCAGTGAAGACATCTTGGCAAGCTGAACTGGACATGTCAGGTCTAATATGGCCTGAGAGAAGAGTGGAGGGGCCTACAAGCCTGCAGGTATCAAGATGTCCCTGTGAGCAGTTATATGAAAACACATCTGGGGACTAGAGGTATCAGGGATACAGCAAASATTGTCTGATGGGAGATGTGGCTCTCTCCTTGATCAGGCTTTGCGTGCGCTTTGCCAGGACAAAGCTGCAACCCCAACACCAACAGTAGCTCTTCTTTTGATTTTGCAAAAGTACAGAGATTTTCAAATCACAAGCAAAGGTGGAGAGATGCGTCATTACAATATTACTAAGTATCTCCAGTGCAAAAATGATCTGTATTATCACTATAGCATTATGATAAGCTGACCTTTGTTGTAAAACTAATAATATCCTTTATCTAAAAAACAAAAAGAACATCAGTCTTCTGTCACAGCAATCAACCATATCAAATGGCATGTTTATTTGTAACTGTGATTTTGTCTTATATTCCCATTAAAGTTTAAAAGAAAGCTGTACTGAAAAGAAACATAATAGAGTAGAATAAATTAGTGTGAAACATTTTTATAGATCATGTTTTGCGCATTCATGTGCTGTCTTGTTTGGAATTTAAATCGAAATTGAAATGGTGACTCAAAGACACAGGTTTAAAAAACATTAATATTGAAAAATATCTCATAGCCTGTTGCTGAGCCACCCTGTTTCCTCAGCTTGCTCACTTCAGGTGCCTTCTGCAACGCCGAAGATGGAGAAGCACATTCCTCATCGCACTCTAGCTGCTCATCCACACATCAGTCCTTAATGTCAGGCACCTCATACCCTTGGGCAAGTTCAAAATCAGAAGCGTCAGCGCAGGCGGTGCCGAGACCTTCATCTCGGGGAGGCAGGCAGGGTCCTCCGCAGCGCTCGCCGGCTCCCTTCAGCAATCAGTCAAGGTGCCATCGGACAATATCCAAAGCCCTGTGTATCATGAWTCCTGTGCCCCTGTTATTAAAGGGTAAATCCTATTTGGGGATTTCCATTTTAAAGCTACCCAGCTTTTCACATTAAAGATGATGAGGATGAGGAATAGAGGTTGTTCATTATTATGTTCAGTATTTTTTTTTCCACTGRTTCTTGCTTACTTGCTGAAAATAGTTTTCACAATATTCAGTTGTTTTGCAACATTCTTTGGTGCTGTCTAAATCCAGCACCAAAAATCTGCCTCTTTTCCTCTTTTTTCCTTTCTCTCTCTTTTTTTTTTAAATTCATTTTCTGCAGACAACATCACTGTCTGAGGACCAATTTGTGTGCTGTCCATCTTTTCAGCTTGATTAGTGTAAATATTTCCACTCTTTGGCCTTATGGTCAATAACAATCCCCCACATCAGACTCCCTCATATGTGACCACTAATAATCTTTGACATGACAGGAAAGTAATGACCTGCCTAAATTGCTTGAAAAATCCTAATACTTGATATTTCCCATTCACACACCCTTCTCATATTGTAAGCCCTCACTACAGGACTTTATGCAATATTTTCCATATTGGCTTTTTTTTTTTTCCTCCAACTATTTTGTTTTACAGTTCTTTTTTAACAGGCTGCGACATTTAAAAGGATATGGGCCATCCTGGGGAGGACTCTGTGGAGGAAATGGGGCCTGTCTAGCCTGGGGAAGAGAAGACTGAGAGGGGATCTGATCAATATGTACAAATACCTGAGGGGAGAATGTAAAGRAGWCGGAGTCAAATTCTTCTCGGTGGTGGTCAGYGACAGGACAAGCGGCAATGGGTACAAGTTGAAACCCAGGCAGTTCCATCTCCACGTGAGGAAGAACTTTCCTGTGGGGGTGMCAGAGCCCTGGMASAGGCTGCCCAGGGAGGCTGTGGAGTCTCCTTCTCTGGAGATCTTCCAAASCCGCCTGGCTGCCACCCTGTGCCCCGTGCTCTGGGTGTCCCTGCTGGAGCAGGGGGTGGGACTGGGTGATCTCTAGAGGTCCCTTCAACCTCAACTCTCCTGTGGTTCTGTGAATCAGCCTGGACAGTTATGGAAGACCAGAGGACTTGCATTGTAGCACTTTTCCCTCCACTTCCTCACCAAGGAACATTGCTTCCTCATCTGGGTTAATATAAGCCTGAGACAAGGAAACAGTTTCCATGCCAKTCAGAGCATCACGTTATCTCTTCAGTGAAAGTTAAGTGAAAAGAGACTGAGTTGCTTACTGAGATTGCTCTAGCCCTTTCCATCTCATGTTGCATTGCAAACATGTTCAGTGGAAGTAGCAATTTACCATACCATTTATTAAAGCAGGGCCTTTCCTTGCATTAATAATTCTTGTGTCAGGGCRTATTTTTGAACATGACCTTGAAATTTGTTTCTTGTTTTAACTCTAAAAGACTATTTCTATTGCTATCGAGAAGATAATATAAAGTATGTTTTTCTGTCATGCACTTTTCTTGGATCTCAGGATGGGGCAAGAAGGTAGCTTAGAAGGTGATATACCCAAGATACATTCACACTGATTCCTCTTAATGAAGCCCTTTTAATGAAGCCCTTTTTAATCTCTACTTGGATTTATAAAGCATGAAATCTTTGCTGCTATGTTATTGATCCTTTTCAAATCTACCAATGAGGCACAAATCCCTGCTGATATGTGAATATTTCTGCCTATTGCCTGTGTCAGCAGGTCTGGAGGAGGCTTCCGTCTTTCTGTGCAAACACTTGGAACCACACAGCAGAGGAAGGGTGGGTGAATCTTAACTAGGGAAAGAACCATGTTTGTTTTTGCCATTCTAAATCTCCAAGGCCAAAGCACACACTAAAAGAAATCCAAGGTCGTCATGCTCTGTGGTTTCTTCTCTGCCTTGGTATTGCCTGTGTGTTTCCAAAAGCTGGSCCCTGGCGGGTGATTTGAGCTTGAAAATGAGATGAGTGGCAAGTGTAATAAACACTAAACAGTGTTACCCTCTACAGAGGATTTGCTGTCAAGAACTGTGACAAAGTCCGTGGCTTGGGATGTCAGGCACATTACTCAGACTGCAGTTACAGCCGTTTCTGGGTCAAGGGCTGAGAAAAGGATTGGGAATGAAATTGCCCTTCCCTCTCAACACAGCRCTATAAAGAAATATGAAAAGTAATTTCAGGAATTGTGGGGTGAAAATCARAGAGGAGCAAATTGCTTGAGCTTCTGCCAAGAGAGATGATTATGGGCATCTTCTGTGGCCACCAGCCTCCTKACAATGACCATTACAGAGCTGTTGTGCCCGCGAGCCCTTCCCGTGGAGCAGGACCTCGCTGCTCCCACTCTGCTTTCTCACTGAGTGTTYTCCACTTCATTAGGGGCAGCATTTSCAGCCGTTCTCCTGTCCCCACAGGTTTTCTGAGTCTCTATTGCAGTGAAGGAGAGGCTCTCCTACAAAACTCCACACCAGGAGCTGATCTGGGGGCTCAGCAGTGACTTTCTTCAGCGTTTCCTGCTTGCTGCCCATGAGAAGTGCACGAAGSAAGGCACTGCAGGAGAAAAGGGCATCTCTCTGGGAGATGGTGGGTGATGGGAGGCAGCAGCAGCCACAGCCTGTGGGCTCCCGGGTTCTGAAGAGTACCTGCTTCATGGACCTAGCTTGAAAAAACAGAGCTAGACTTCTTAATCTCAGTGTAAAAACAAAAACGGCACCGAATCTGAGTTATTGCTCGGTCTGATGCATAGGGACTGACAAACGAAAGCCTTGGGTTTTCATTCCTGCTCTGACTATGTGGATTATGTTGGTATTTGTGTCTCCTGGTGGAAATAGCTGATTCCAAGTGCCTGCCCTGTGCACCTCTGGACCTCCCCAAGATGAGCAGGCAGTAGAAGTCTCCCAAGAGAAGRCTTTTAAAAAGGAGTGTTACCAGACTCAGTAAAGCAAAAGACAGGGCAGGTAAACAGGTAGCTACAAAAAGTTGTCTTTTCTGAATAAAATAAATGTTATTACAATTGTGAAAAAAAAATCATACGAAAACCACAAAAAGATGAACAAACGGGCACTTCACGTGCAGGTTCCTCTGAAAGCCCTAGTTAGTCCCTAGATGTGGCTAGAGAACTTCCCACATGAACAGTTCTCATTCCTGCAGTCATGAACCCTGAGGTGGGGAGAGAGAAGATCAATGTGTTTCCAAACCTCATCCCCTGGGTCTTCCTAACTATATTTGAAAGGTGGCCTTTTTTTGAAAGGAGATGAGCAGATTTAAAAAAAATTGCTTAGTGGGGACAGAAAACCCGCTTTGCTACTGACTATGGAATCCCAGGTGGGTGAAGCCAGGCTTTGACCCCCCCACAGCYGTCCCCATCACTGTAAGCTGAGCTCTCATTCCCAGGAGAGGCTGTGAGGATCATCAACATCGCAGCAGCTCTTTGGTTGCTGCTGGCACCACTTTTCCTGATGGACAGTAGAAATTTGTCTGTGTTTTTGCAATGAGAAACTAACAACCTGGACACTGCTACTGCAATMCATTTTATCCATTTTCTTTTCATTCTCTTCCATTTTATCCATTTTCTTTTCATTCTCTGCTCTTTGCTGTAATTTCTCAAGTTATTTCTTAACTGAGTTATTGAAATTTTCCATCCCCATCTAATCGATCCGTCAGAATCTAACCTAAATGACAGCAGTAGAAATGGCAACTGAAACCCAGGAAGCTTGAAATATGAACAGAGGGAGAACTGACTGAAGACAAGTCCACCTTGACTTGCCTGAACCTTCCCTCCATCCTCTCCCCAGCTCCCTCACGGGTCTTGTCCTTATTTAGCTTGATCACTCCAGAGCGTGGTGCTAAAATCCAGGTAGGAACCTCTCCTGGCAGCAAGTTGGATTTATCCATTACCTTGTGTCTTCCCCACTGCAGCAAAAATTATTTCATGCTCCCAAAGAACCTCTTTGCCTGGGAAATGCTGCCTTTTGCTTAGAGAATCACAGGGTCACAGAATCACACTGAGTGAAGAGGATTTTTCCCAGACTTTTTCATATAAAAATAAAAGATCAGATTAGCAGCACAGAGGTTTATAAGACAGGTCAGGTGGAGAATCACCAGCTTGACCATGCAGCTTCTTTTAGGGAAAGTCTGAAGTATGTCGTTACGTGGGAAACAGTAATTGATTCTGCAAGGTCAATGCCTCCTGGTAGGAGTGGAGCAAGGGCCGGTAGCTGGAACATTACTGTTTTATTAATATGTTTAATTTTGGCGGTAGGAATAAGATGACAGAGCAGAGGTCCTGCTGACCATTAGATGCTGAGATGTTGATGAACCTCAAGTTGTTCTCCAGGTTCACTGCCAATTTCTGAGCGTGTGAATGGCTCTCTGAAATACTAATATGCTAAAATAAATGGGACTACAGTTTCATTTTATTCTGATTCCTCTGAGAAAATCATTTTCTTGGATGAGGAGAGGAAATGAGATAAAATTATGCCATTAGTTTTCTATCTGCTGACCTGATATATTAAAGTAATTTCTCAAAAATTACAAGATGGCAGAATAAAATTTAAAAATAACTTCTAAATTTTAAGATTTTTTTTCCATTTTTGACCTTCTAGAGTGYGTTTCCCCTACGGTTTCTCCTCTAAAATCCCAACTATTGGAACTGTGCTAAAATCCGGGAGGCCAAAGAGCTAATGTGCCAGTAAAACAGCACACCTCACGCTGGGAAGGGCCAGGCCCCTGCTCTCCCTGCTTCTCCTCTCAACCGCAGCGCCCTTTGCTGTATCCAGCTTGGGAATGAGCAGGGCATTTCCAGACTGGCTGCAATAGCTTGTGCATCCATCCACGCACTTTGTTCCTTGCCCAGAAGCTAGCGAGCCTCCTCCGGCCGAGAGAAGCGACTGGGGCCACGGCGCTCCCGCCTTTATCCCTGCAAACCCTCTTCCCTCCTCCTCCTTTCCATCCTTCCTCTCGCCGGGACCCTCGCCCCGTTCCCAGGGCAGCGCCCCGCGGCAAAGCCCCGCCCCCGAGCTAGCCCCGCCCCGGACATCGCCCCGCCCCCGAGCTAG